GGCTCCAAGCCATAAGGTCTCATGCTTCTGCCATGGAGAAGGGGGTTCTGGGGAAGGGACCTTTCCTTTGCAGTGAGTAAACTCCCAACACGACCCTGTTTCCTAATCTGCAGAGCTTTGGCTTCTCTGAGCCTTTTGCTGAGTATTTTTTCACAGAAGAACGGGTGCAGCCGCGGCGTTGCTGAGCACTTCCCCTGTTCTCTCAAACCCTGTTTCTAAGCAGCTGATGGCAGAAGATCAGTAGCGATGGGAGAGGCATCGTCCTTTCGCTCCAGCCCCTCGGTGTGCGCAGTGCACGGCGCTGGTTTCATTGGATTTCAGCCCCTTGGCACGTGGTGTTATGAGAAACTCTTTGCTTGCAGCAAGTAGCCCCGTGTCCAGCAGCGATTAACAGCGAGGTTGGTGCTTTTCACCAAAATCTGCCTTTCCAGCCCAAAGCTGAACCCCGCGCTCGCGCAGAGGCGGGCTGAGAGCTCCCCGTGCTGCGCTCGCAGTCGTGACATCCTGTCTAGACCCAACGGGTGATGCTGTCTCCTGTAAGGTGCTGAGCACTGTGACAAAAGGCTCAGAGAGGATCTGAGCAGAGCAGAAATAAAGCTTTCCTGTCCTGAAAATAATTGTGCACTGAACGAGCCAGGGAGCAAGAGCCATGCAGCTACTCTGGGAGGTAACTGTTGGTCATCTGTTGGCTTTCTAGTCTGTGAGCAGAAAATGCAGCTATTTGCACCTGGAGAGTACATAAGTGCCAAAGAGCCAGAGGATTAAGTGCTGAGTACAGTTTCCAAAGGCACCTTGTGTCTGTCCAAATGTAATTGTGTGTGGTGAGTGGGTAGAAAATGGCTTAGGAACAAAAATGAAAATCAGGTTTTTCTATTTCTTTTTGAGTTTCCCCTTTCCTCTTGGGTGGGGAGAGATGTATTTTGCTTTCTTATAGAGATGGACGCTTAGATCCACTGGTGGGAGACCAGGACTTGGCTCCCACTGCACTGGCTGTGGTCCAGCGTGAGTGATATTTGTTATCTGGGATGTCAGTAAAATAGCAGTGCAGAGAGATGCCGCTGACTCAGTTGTACTGTGGCTTATTAACCAAGTTCTGACTCAGCCTGCAAAATTCAGGTTTTTTTAGATTAACCCCCACTGGACAAGGCAAGGCTGAGCGGAAAATGACTCATTTTTGTGATGAACCTTGTGGAATGGGTGCTTGTATTCCCCTTGGGTGGTGATGCAGAGACACTAGCACCAATTTAAGCTCCCAGTGGCTCTTGGTAACCCGGGAGGAGAGCAGGGAGAGAGTTCTGCCTGTTGTTCTTCTGCATAGAAGTTCAGTCTTGGAGACTGAGTTTGATCTAGGTAGAGAAGCCTGTTTTTTAAGAGCTGCCTGATGAAACTAGCCATGCCAAACAGATGATCAGCAGGCAGAGTGGTGATGTGAACACTTTCTTGCCAACCTTTTGCTGTGTGCCTTCTGTCCTCTCAAGCCGATTTCTCCCTCTGCCTTTGCTTTGCCAAGTCCTTGTGATGGTGAGGTGACTGGCTGCCCCGCTGCCTCGGGAACTCAGCTGCTCCCACACAGCCAGCACTGAGGAACTGCTCTCCTGCCGCCCTTAATGTGGGAGTAATTCTTGGTTTGTGATACCAGACTTGCTGGGCTCTATGGGCTATGAAAGGGCTGTGAAAGGGGACTAAGAAAAGCACATTTCTGGGGTCTGCATCGCCGTGGGAGATCTCTCAGGAGCTCACAGGCTGAAAGAGGTTGATAATTATTGATCTTGCTTAATAGGGAAAGGAAAATGTATCCCGCACCTCCTACTCTCAGTGACATTGTCCTGGGAGAAGGCAGTGCCAACAACTTGCACCCATTGAGGAGAGGGCAAAGCAAAGGGGCAGGGGGTTTCCACAGCCCTGAATAAGGAGCCAGAACTGGGCTAGTGGTCTCCTGGACTGCCCTGGGATAGAGGGGCTTAGTCGGGGAGTGACCTGGGGCAGGAACCAGCTGCTTTAGTTGCCTGCTCTGGGTTTTGCTGGTTCTCTGCAGCTGGTGGTTGCTGGCGCTGAGGCAGGAGGCCTGGGGTGGCTCAGGGGTGTTCCTGAGGTGGTCTGCAGCTCAAGCGAAGGACAGCTTCTCTGCACCCCTAAGATCTCAGTGTGGCAGCAGTCCTGGGATGTGGAACAAGTGCTGGGTTCAGCTTGACCTTTGAAGAGCACTGGATTTCTCCATTTGATTGCAAGTGGGAGCTGCTTCCTCGAGGACATGCTGCACTGTGAGCCCTGCCAGCTTTCCTGCCTCCATGGGCAGAGTCTGGCCACGCTCCTCCCTCAGGGCCAGTCATTTCCCCTCCATCCGCTCTCCCTGGGGCCCCACAGATGTCTCTTCACTTGTCAAATCTCCATCTAGCTCTGATCTGTGCCTGCGGTGCACTCTCTGACATATGAGGCAACTTCTTCCTCACCCTGGCTGAGGAAGCTTCCGCTTCCCCACCACGTGCTGCTGAAGGACACTGCAGTCATGCTTCCAGGTGGTCACGGAGATGCTGAGCTGCACAGGTTAACCCAAGAAGGAGCTCTCCCACAGAGGAGAGTGGTCTGCAGAGAGGTAAGATCAGTTGTCCCAGGGTGCTGGTTCCTCACGTGCAGAAATGCCATCTCCCACGTGCAGGCTAACCCACGCAGAGCCTCCCCAGATCGAGCAGCCGCAGCTGTGGGGGTGTTTCGAAGTGTTTGTGACTCAAGCTCGAGAACACATTGTTAGAGCAAAGCTCTGCCTTGTGTTGTTGCTGCTGCTGACTTTCGAGTGAAATGGGCAGAGCCGTGCAGAGCGCTGTCCTACCTGCTGAGAGCATCAAGGGAACAAAAGCTGCCACAAAACCTTCGAGCCCAGAGAAATGCCTTTGTAATTTTAGAAACAGAACCGCTGTGGAAACAAGATGTTGTGTGAGTAAGTGCTCCTCAGTGGTGCTGCAAGGCAAATGCTTCAGCCATCCCTGCGGGATGAGGTTGGTCTGCAATTTGAAAGACAAGGGACCTGACTCTCGCTGCGTGCTGTGAAAGGCAGAAAATAAACTGGGACCAGAAGCTGGGAGGCAGGAGCAGGATGCTGAGGTTACCTGGCACGGGGAGAGCAGGGGCTCTGCTCCTCTGGGTGTGCAGGAAGAAGCTGGTCCCTCCAGCCTGGTGGGCACAGCAGCGTTGGTGCTTTTTCCATGGCATGGGCTGTGGAGGAGTTATTGCTGATCGCTGTGTGAGGGAAGTGTGCTCAGTGCCTCCTGGAATGTGGCTGCTTTTGGGATTGTGTTTGTGCTTTTGGAAGCTGCTCCCTGGGACCGTTACAATGATGGTCTGTCATCCCCCGAGAGTGGCTGTCAGCTCGGCTGACGTTAGTGGCACAGCAAGCCATCTCCAGCCCAAAGGGGCAGGGGAACGGGCAGGTTGCCCCCTCACCCCACCAGAGATGAGGGCAAGGGGGAATTTGAAGCCATCCCTGACTTGATTTCCCTGTTTCCCAGCTGTCGATGTGACCCTGCAGTCTGTCCCTCAGCCCAGCCTCTTGCATGGCTGCCCTGTGACAAGTGTTCCTCTCTCCCCACTCTCTGCTCTCTGCAGAGCTCTTGCTGGAGGAGCTTGCAGCCTTTTACAGCCCTGTCACCTGGGGTGGCCGCCTGTCCCGCGCCAGCATCTCCCCTGAAAGGGCTGTGTAGCCCAGGACAGCAACTCACCTGCTGCACTCTGAGCTGTGCTGATCAGGAAAGCCAAAACATGGTGTAGACCAGGAACCTGAGATGCTGACACATGTTTTAGCCCCAAGCTTCATCCCAGGCAGCCTGTGCTGAGATGGGAGGTCAGCTCTAGTGTCCAGGCATCTGCACTGTGACCCCACCGCTGCTCACCCTGTCCCAGAAGGCCTCTAGCAATGGTCTGCTCATAGGAGAGCCAAGTTGAGACCAAGAATCACAGAATTGTAGTGGTTGGAAAAGGCCTTTAAGATCATTGAGTCCAACCATAAACCAAACACTGCCAATTCCACCTCTAAACCAAGGCCACACGCTGCTTCAGCCAAGTGGAAAACCAAGCCCAGACGGGCTGTCTGCTTCCTATGTGGTCTCACCCTCTACTCTGCAGTATATTCCCGGTCTTGTGTGATGCAGAGGTGTATCATGCTAGACAGCAAGTTCATTTTGGGGTTGGGAGGAAATCAGTGCTGTAGGTTGCCTCTGGGAACTTGCCAGATACTTGAGGCTTGGTACAGTATTTACTAAAGCAACCACATCCAAATAAAATAGAGGCTTTGCCATCGGCCCTTTTCCTGCACGCTGAAATGTTCCTTGTGCTGTCCCTGTTGATCTCTAGAAATCCCCTGGGCTCTGGCCTTTGCAGGCTGTCTCTCCTCCAACTGCCTCCGTTACAGTCCCTGTAAGCCTGATGCAATTTGTACTTTTTCATATTAAGGAACTTGAACCACTGGATTGTGGCTCAGTAGAATAGGAAAGGACAGTGTTAGAGCAGCTCGGCAGACAGCTCGGTGTCTGCTGGTAGATGTGTCTCTCCTTTATGTTGGCAGCCTGTGTTCTCAGGCAAACATGCCTCTGAGGAGAATCAAGGTGAAACACCAGGGATGGGGCCCTGGTGACAAGACAAGCAATGGGACAGATGCCCGCTGATCAGCTCTTGCCTTGGGGCTTTGGCTGGTTGAGGAGTGGATGGGCTGGTGGGCTGAAGCGAGGAGAGAGGCTGTCAGTGTGCCCAGCCCCTCGGGGCAGCTGTGCAAGAGACCCCAAAGGCTGATGAAGAATATGAAACTCCACTGAGCAGGACCCGGGAGCCAGGCTGCTGCTGCTCGAGGGCAGCTTGCACGTAGGAAGCACCGCACCCTCACCCAGCAAGTTAACCAGCAGATGGGGAAGCACCCTGCAGCACCCCAACTGCCACGTCCACCTTGCTTGTGGCTATCAGGTGGAGTGATGTCCGGCCATGGGACAGGTATGTGTGTTGTGGGGGGTTATGACATGACTCAGGGTTTAAACGGCCACCTGAGGACCCAGCGAAGGGATGAGCAGCGGCTGGAGGTTAGGAGTGTGGTATCATCTCTCAGGTGGGCTTGTTCCCTGGTGTCTCAGCTGCAGGAGAAGCCAGGACTGCCACTCTGCAGAAAGGTTTGCTATGCTGTTGGGGGCATTCCCTACCAGATGACAGGCAACGTGCTTGGGTTTTTCCTCCAGATCTTCCTATTGGATGTTGTGCAGGTGAGTGGTGGTGTGAGATGGGGTTCTCTGCAAAGGTGCTTAGCATAAACTCAGCAGACTGGGACAAGGGTGGAGTTTGGTGGGTGGCCAAAGCCCTTGGAAATGCTCATCAGAATTAGGCATTCAAAGTGGATCAGTATTGCATGATGTAAATACTGTTGGTGGGCATGCAGGAGATGTTTCTGGGCCATTTCAACGCTCACAGTGGTCTCCAGGGGATGTAGATGAAATGTTGGCTTGAGTGAGCTGCATCAGGCTCACTGCTGGCAGCTTTTTGCCAGGACTTCTTTCCCTTTCGAGCTGTGGTTTCCATTTCCCTCACAGCTGGAGCCATTCCATGCCTCTTTGATCATTTTCTTTGGAAGAGCCTGGGATGCAGTGACTGACCCTGCTATTGGCTTCCTGGTCAGCAAGAGCCCGAGGAGAAAATATGGCAAGCTGGTTCCATGGTGAGTGTCTGAGCTGGAGCCTCAGGAGGGTCTTTGCTGGGCTCACATTCCTTGAGTGCTAGCACAAGGAGGCAGCTGGGACAGAGGTTAATGTGACTGTGGCTTATGGAGAATTACAAAACCTTAACATCAGAAGGATGCTGAAGATAACGTAACTTGCAGTGGGGTCCACATGTCAGTGCAATGGAAGAAGAGGAATGTCCTGCAAACTTGTGCAATTGCTGTTTCTCTGAGGCCTCATGTTTTTGAGGCTGTGGGGTTCAGTGCTCTGAGAGTCCTGTGTGGTAGCACACGGAGAGGTTGGTAGTCAGCAGGGTCAGCAGCTCTCCACCAGCCTCTAACCACGGGCAGATCTTGCACGTAGAAGGTCCTGCTTCCCCCAGGGTTCTGCTGCAGCGGAAGGACTTGAAGTAGTTAAGCAAGAGAGTAAGAAATGTTGGACAGCTCAGACAGTAGGTTCCTCTCCATGTTTGTGTTTAGCCCCTCCCAGCCTGACTGATGGACACTCACTCGAGCAAAACTGCTTCTTCTCGCAGACCTTCACCTTGCAGTAGCTGGGCTGTGGTTTGGAAGCGAGGGAAGAGGCTGTGCTACGTAGCTCAGGTTGTGCAACGAGAAGTGTGATCACCTTATCGGAAGGTCACATCTGACCAGCTCTGTTTCCTCCCCAGGATCGCTTGCTCCATGCCGTTTGGGGTGCTCTGCTACTGCATGATGTGGTTCACCCTCTCAGATGCCACCCCCACCTCCCTGAAATTCCTGTGGTACCTGTTTATGTACAGCTTCTTCCAGACTTGCATGACTGTAAGGAACATGGTGCTTGGGGCTGACTGTCTTACATATCAACCTGTAGAGCGAGGGACTGGGACACGGGCAGCAAGGGACTGCGACACGGGCAGCTGGGGAGTCCCAGCCTCTCCAGGAAGGGACCTGGCACAGAGTCTGGGAGAGCTGTATCTGGGGAGCAGCAGGGGATGGAGGATGGCACAGACCATTCCCGCAGGGATGGTGAGCTGGAGCGGTGCATTTTAATGCTGGGGATTCAGCTGGGCTGCAAACTCCTCCATGGCTGGTTTGTGGGAGCAAAGCACAGCAGAGAAAAGGGTGACAAGCCACCTGTGTGCAGGGGTGACACAGAAGGCAGCGTTATCTACTGTGTGTAGGGATGAGGGGGGTCACCACCAGCAAACCAGGGAAGCAGCAGCCAGAGATGTGTTTGATCTCTGCTTTCCCTAGTGCCACCACGTGCCGTACTCTTCCCTGACAATGTTCCTGGGAGGAACCCAGAGAGACCGTGACTCAGCCACTGCCTACAGTAAGTGTCTGTGCCCCTGTGACCCCGGTCTGCCTGCGTTCCTGGGAGACCCTCCCCAGAGGAGAGGTGAATAAAAGCCCAGGTTCAAGTTCTGAGTTCACCTTGAATCAAAGTCAAGGTTTCTCTGGCTTTCAGCAGGCTGCAGAGTGGATGGGGTAAACCAGAGATATGATGAGACCTTCTGCATTGTCTTCTGCAAAGAATTTACCTGCAGAAGCATTTCTTAGATCTGTATCATCCCTAGGGAAACCAGGAGTCAGATTTATTGGTTCCAACCATGAGAACATTTACTGGTGGAGCCAAGGGGAAAAAAATCAGAGCAGGTGGAAATAGCAGATCTCTTCTGTGGCAGCTCTGGATGTCAGTGCCTCCAATTCCATTCCCAAAGCTGGTCTCTTACCTTGAGGGATGTGTCCTGTCAGCCAGGGAGTGGGACTGAGGTTTCTCTTCTGGCAGGAATGGGGATGGAGGTGTTCAGCACTCTCCTTGGGTCAGGGATCCAGGGGCAGATTGTGGGCAGTTACCACGTCAGGAATGGCTGTTACGTGTCAAACGAGACCCTGCCCAACACCAGCACCTACAGCCTCACGGACTCTCTGGAGAACACGGTAAGGGCTGTCCCGTCTGTCCCCTGCTCCTCCCGTAAGCTCTGGGACAGGCACTGCTGGCTGTGCTGCCAGCTCTGTGTGTGGTACTGCACTGTCACTGTGCCACCGCATTGTCACTGTGCCCTGTCTCTTATTTTCCAGCGTAGGGCCTATGTATCTGCATCCCTGGTCCTGGGCTCAATCTATTGCCTGTCCTGTCTGATTCTCATCTTTGGAGTCAGGGAGCAGCCTGGTAAGATCCATTTAGATCCAGTTTGGAGGGTTCCCAGTGGCAGTGGATGGTGAGAATGGGGTTGCAGAGGAAGGTGTGAGGCAGAGGGAGCTGGGTGCCTCCATGGGGGGTGGCTCTCTGGGTGTGGGGCTCAGAAACACACACGGATGCTGAGACCCGACTTGGTTTGTGCTGGCAGCATCTCGCTCCCACAGAGGAGAGAGGAGAAGCTCCAGAGGAAGGAAGGCTCAAGCAGCCTGGGAGCTCTTGTGAGGAACCGTGGGCTTGGGACAGGGTCTGCAGCTCACTGCTTCACCCCGAGCAGGTCTCACCAACACAGAGGGTCTGCAGAGCCACTCAGGCCAGCCCGAGCATGATGTAAAGGGGCAAAATCCTGCCCGTAGCTGACACTGTGGCTGTTGTCTCTGCACCGAGCTCCTCAGCCAGCTGAGCTGCACCCCAGGCGCAGTGGCACAGTGCCCCTGTGCCTCCCACCCCATCACCTTTGTTCTGGCAGCTCCAGTGCCAGCTCTGCTCTCTCTCTCCTTTCAGGGCCCCTCAGCCCCCTGGGGAAGGTTGAGCTGCCCTTTGCCAGCTGCCTGAGGATGATGGTGGGACACAAACCCTACACCCAGCTGCTGTGTGGCTTCCTCTTTGCATCCTTGGCCTTCCAGGTGTGAGACCTGCCATGGCAGGAGGAGAGCTTGGGGGATGAGATGTCCAGGCAAGTTATCCAGACAATGAACTTGGGAACCCCAAGCCATGAACGTCTGCACGTTGCTTTCCTAGATCACACAAGGGATCTTTGCCTTCTTCTGTACTCATGCGGCAGGGCTGGCTGGGAAGTTCCAGCATTTGGTGCTTATCATGTTGGTAAGTGAGTCCCAAAGAGACTTTCCTGCTGGAGGGGCTGATCCCTGGGTCACCCCAGCCCTCGAGCATGGGCAGCTCAGCATCGTGGAGTCATGGGCTGCTGCGTTTGCCCATCAGCAAGGACATCACCCAGGCAGAGACTGGCAGTCCTGGAGGGCACTGCTGAGACTCCCCTTTGCTTCTCTCCTCAGGTCACAGCTTCCCTCTCCATTCCCTTTTGGCAGTGGTTTTTGGGGAGATTTGGAAAGAAAACAGCAGTGTCACTAGGCCTGGCGGTGAGTTTGCCTGTGGTTGTGGCTGTGACATGAGAAGCCCTGTGAGAAAACAGCCTTGTCTCAGCCTCATGGTGTCTGAGAGAAGAGCTGGCTGGTGGCTAAGGGTGGCCCTGTGCACGGTGTCCTCTGCACTGTGACCAGGAGTTAAGCCAGTAGTTGATGGCAACTCTGCATTTCCACCTGCCTGGCCACTGCTGGTTTGGGTGGGCATGGCCACTGCTGGTTTGGGTGGGCATGGCTTGGCAGAGCTCTGCAGGAAGGTGCAGGGAGGCTGAGAGCCCGTCCCTGGGACAGTGGGGAAATGATTTTTTGCAGCATCACTCAACTGAGGGCTCAGACTCTGAGTCTCCATGGCTGCAGATCTGGTGGGCAGCGT